AAATGCACCCCAAAAAATTTTGAAAATTTCATAATAAAATATTTAAAATTTCCAGCTTCAGCCGCAACAATAATTAAGAGCACAGATAAAAATGCTTACTCAAAGAATATTGCCAAATAATTTGTAACATCTATAACCAATTTTTTGTAATCGTCACCGATCTTTTCGATCTTTTGTAAAATAGCGGATTCTTTATTTTTCATTTTCGTTATTGAAGAACGAGTCGACGCGGAAGGTCGAGTTAAATCGTTCTCAATCTCTTTTGTCCGAACCAAAAAGTGGCAAAAATCTTCGTACTCTTGTTCAATATTTTCCACATGGTTAAGTACAGTTTTAAGTAAAGAAATAAAGACTTGAAGTAACTCTCCAATTTTTTTTGGATCTATCTTTCTATAATACAAGATAATTATTTTGATGGCCTCGAGATATCTGATTTGCACTTTGCATAATTAAAAGTAGTACTCAGCAGTACTCACATTAAATCATCCAATAATGTTTGGATATAATCATTTTCACCGAGTCCAGGCTTTTTTAATGCAATGGAATATAGCTCATATTTCGATTTTAGCTTTTTTGCATCATAATCCAAAAATTCTTGGAGAAAAATGATAAATTCCAAAGCAATAGCAAATCTTTGATGATATGTTGCTATATTTTGACTGAAAGTTGGTAAAAGTGATTTTACGTAGTAATCATCACACAATAACCGACGCGCTTCTGCTGGCTGATGAAGTTTGGACTCCACATACCTGAATTAATTTTTATAAAAGCGATGAACATAATAAACATTGTAAATAACAATCATCTTAGATACCTGCTTACTCTCTGAATGAAACTTGCATTCGTATCATTTCTACATGGTTTTCGTTTAGCAAATCAAGCCTCGAATAAATTTCCTCTGGTTCAATAGTTGCCAATATACTCAATGGATTTGTATAAAAATAATGCATCAATGCATACTACAAAGTACAATTATCATTATTATTATTATTATTAATATATTAATATATATATATTTAAAAAAATAATAATAATAATAATAAAATAACAACGCATTTCAAAACAACCTTCAAACTTGATACAAATAATGACAACGAAAACTTTCTTCCAATAAACATATCAAGCAGAAACTCGTATGCTTTTTCACCGACTTTTATACATTGTGCATCTTCAATCATACACTTTATAAATTAAAAAAGTTATATTAAAAAAGAAATATTTATGCCTTGGAAAAAAAGAAACAAATTCTACCAACTTGTGATACAAGATCATCGCAACGGGCTTTTTGCGTCCGCAAATAAAACGCTTCTGGTTTTAACAGGCGCACCACAGAATATGAATAGTTTTCACGAAGTGGGTCGATACCACGAATACAAGTAGTTATTCCTAACATCAACACAATTGGAATTCTATCTCGATAATGACTATTAGTGTATCAAAGGAAAGAAAATATAAATCAAAACGTCAATATTGATTTTATTATTCACGATTGTCAGAAGATAAATACCTGCACGAGTATATAAAATTTTCCAAGACTTCTGGTACAAAACATTCAAAATCTTGAATTATAATAATCAGCCTCGGCAAAGGTCTCGGACCTAAGATACGTTTTGACGCGTCTTAAAAACGACTTTTTTTTTTTATTTCATAGCTCAATGGAATGAAGAAATGGAAAGGCTAATATTACCATCTTTAATTTGATAATTGTACTCGTACCATTGAGACAAAGTATTCATATCAACCTTTAAGATACAATATGAATATATCTATATTTCATTGAAAAAACCTCAAACGTACAATATATATGACTTAGAAATATCACTCACAATATCTTCGATCGGATCGATAGAATAATCAGAAGCCTCCTAATTTGAATCAGAAACAAATGTGATCATTTATTACGCTTAAATAATAAATTAAATGGAAAGTGAAATAACTATACATAATCTTCTTGATAGTCATCTTGACAATCATCTTGACAATCGTCATTGTCATTGTCATCGTCTTTATCAATTGCTTCTCTACCAAAAAACTGCCTAACAACTTGCATTTCTGTTCGTTTCAAGTCAGAACAATCCATTGAATTAAGAAATACAATATGATTCTGATGACTTTGCTGCAATTTTTGAGAGACGCGTTGAAAGAACTTTGTATTTTCCTCTTTATCAGCGCCTATTATAATGCAAATCTTTTTTAATCAGCAATATATAATGAATTTATTTCAACCCAATAAAAAAAAATATTTACCTGTAAACATCAAAGCTGTTGGGAGTGCATAAAAACGATTAGGTGGATTACTACAAGAAATTGGGAAAAAAAAAACCCCCCATTAATTGATGATTTGCTAACATTATTATCTCAGTCCTTTAAAGCTAAACTTACAGTTTACTAATTTCACCTTTGTCATAAGTATTTATTACGAAATCACAAAGGTCGGAGATAGCCGATTCATTAACTGTTAATAAAAAATTCTGCCCAAACCATTCGCCTTTCATTATCATGAGGTTTTCTCCTTTTTGTATCAATGAAATAATTTATATATACATACCTCAACCTTCTTTTCTAAACATTGAATGGCTTTAACATAATCCTCATACCTAACTTGTGTTGCTTTTGAAGATTCTTTGCCTTCTAGAAGAGGCTCAAAAGGAACGCGTTCACTACCTATGAATGATGATTGTGAAGATTCATTCCAGAGATATTAGTATTATATTATCAAAAATTTATGAAATAGTATCGAATGATATATAAATTACCTTTTTTTCTACCCGTGTGTTTCGCTTGCTTTTTTGGTAGGAAAAAAACCGAGCCCTACAAGAAACACGTCAATATTTAAGGCATACGCTGTACAAGAAAAACGAAAAGAAACAAAAGCATGAGAAAAGATTAAAAAACCTTTGAGTTTGAATCAGACATTTAATTTCTTTAGACTTGAAGAATGAAACATGAAATCTCAAGACCAAGAACTACCTGCTACTAGGGTGTCTGGCACAGATTTAAATAAATGGCATGCCACGCGGCATGCCATTTTTTTTGGGCATGCCATGCCATGCCGCATTTACTTATTTGAGCGAGTGATACAAACCCAAAAAAGGAAATTCAACGTAAAAATGTCATTTAGGAAATTCAACGTAAAAATGCCATGCCGCATTTACTTATTTGTGCGGGTGATACAAACCCAAAAAAGGAAATTCAACGTAAAAATAAACTAAGTTCGTGAAAATAAAATTTATAGTTAGACCGCTAAAGTTAGATACTATAGAAATAAATGTTCATTTCTTATATGTAAAATTTCATTTCCGTCACTTTTAATTAGTGATCAAAGACAGGTTTAAACACAGTTTCTTGTATTTTCGCTTTTTTCGTTTTTTTTTTTCATGTTTTTCGCTTTGCTCACGTGTCGGGCTGATCCGGAATAATAACATTTTACATTCTCTGATTAGTAATTTCCCTTTTTGGATTTGTATCACGTACAAATAAGTGCATATAGGAGAACATTCGTCTAATTGGCTGATGTAAATCAATTGCCGGAAAACTCAGTTATACACTTTAAAGTACTTTTTGGAAACACAACGTTTTACTAACAAAAAATCCATTTTTCACTTCAATAGAATGTTTATATTCACTATGCAAAAATAATCAGTAATAATTAGTATTCTCACAAACTTTATTTAGAAGGCAAAATATGTTTATTATTTATTAAACCATATTAAATTATACTATAAAGTGAAGGTATCAGAAATGTTTTTGTTTAAAATTATTTTATTATGTTTTTTTTTTTAATTAGCCTCTTTGGGGCTAAGGTTTTTATTTAAGCTTGGATAGAGTGGTTTATAGTGAAGCCATCTTTTACATTAGAGAGTACAACTAGTTATATATATAACTTTTGGTTGCCTATTTAAGTAGTTTACATATTGGTATTATATTATAGGTTCTATATTAGCTGTCATATCTACAACTCAACTAGTAAGTTATTTATTTAAATTCTCTGTAATACAAACTGCTATCTGTATTACCAATATATTTTTATTATATTTGTTAGTTAAGAAGTTTTAGATACTATTTCTATATCTTTAAGACTAATTTATTCCTAAAGCATTATTGCTAGAGTTTTTCTTATCTATAATTTGGCTAATCTAGACTTCAATAACTTATATTATATTTAAGGACAAGTACTTGTAAGCTGAAACCACTACTATTATCTATTTTGTCTTTATAAAGTTTATCTAAACTTTAGTATATACTTTATGAATTATTATCAACTTTCCTAATATTCTAACAGTAGAATTCTTTAAAATTAAATCAAATCAAATATTAAGCTTATTTAAATTTGATTTAATTTGAAATTTTTGTATTTAAATTTTTTTTTTTTAATCTTCAAAGGTGAGACCATGCCTCTATTTTTATTAAAATCTAATTAAACTTTTTTATAAATAAAAATAAAGAATTTATATTATTTGAACTTTATATTTATCAGATACTAAGATTAGAGACTCAGACAAAGCCCTTGCTAACTCAAGAGTTATAGAAGTTATCTGCGACCTAAACTTATCTGTATTTAAATTTGATTTGATCAAATCAAATTAAATAATAAAAAAATCTAATTAGTGCTTCTATGCATAGTATATCTTTATAACAAAACTATGCTTGCAATATAAATTATATTAATATTAAATTAGAGTTAGAGTTAAGGTTAGTAAGGTAAAATTGCAAAAGAAACATTTTTCTTATATTATACAATAGGTGTTACTTAGTTAAAATTTTGAGATATTAGCAATTTTATAATAAGGAACATACAGTATAGAGAGCATCAACTAGTCTAGTCCTTAAATAATATTTAAAAATTTTTAAATTTTTAAAATTTTATTATTTTTTTAAAATTTTTAATTTACAAAAAATTTTACTAAATTAATCAATTTTGTATATTAAATAAAAAATATTCTTCTATAGATTTAGATCACAGATAATTTCTATAACTTTTAGTTAGCAAGAGTTCTGTTTGAGCCTCTAGTCTTATTATCTTAATAGATATAAAGTTTAAATAATATAATTTTTTTACTCTAATTTGTAAAGAAATTTAATTAAATTTTAGAATTTATTTAAAATTAACCGGTAGTAAAATTCATCGACATAAGAATTTTAGGATTAGGGTGCGGTTTTAAGGTTTTTTTTTTATATTATATAAAGTAGATATAAAGTTCCGATTTAAATTCTTATAAAGTTTTTAGAGGTCCTGAACATTTTTACTTAATCTACCCAACCCCTGTTTCATAATGCAGTTTTCGAAATATAGCACTCTGGTGAATTTCATCTTTGGTGAGTATTAAAATACTCCTAAATTTTAATAATGATAAAGGCATAACCTTACCTTTGAAAATTAAAAAAAAAAAGTTCTTCTAATCAAAATATTTCTAATTAAATAAAAAAAACAGTTTATTTATTATCTGATTTTTTTTTATTAAAAGCTTACTTCCCTTCTCTTTTAATATATCTTGATTAGGTCTTTATATATAATTTTAAATTTTTTATCCTATTTTCTCTAAACAATCACCTGATTTTTGTCACGTTCTCAAAAAAAAACAATTATCTTAATAAAATTTTGTGTTATCTTTATAGTTTCAATAAAAATTAAATTAAATATTCAAATATTTGTCAAATAAATTAAATATTTTGTCAATTTAAATTTAATTTAATTTGAAATTTCTGTATTTAAATTTGATTTAATATTAAATATTAAATCAAATCAAATCAAATCAAATTAAAATATGAAACTCTATTCAACAGCATCTAAACTTCTAATCCAAATGATCCAGAAAAAATCTGCAGCTATTTTCTTATATTTTAATTAAATTTTTTTTTTGTATATATGCAATCTGATTAGTATAGTGCTTTGCTAAACATTTGGTTTTTATTTAATAGGCAAATCGCGAGTCATCTAAACAAAATATGGGGGTGAGTCAATAGAAATCAAACAAATTGTTTTTATTGAATTTTTTTAAAACTTTATATACCAATAATTTAACCAAAACTTAATCAAATTTAATAAAAA